CCCCCCCCCCCCCCCCCCCTCACCTTCCCGCTTATTCCCTAAGGATACTCCAAAAGAGTCCCGCCAGGAATGATCATCACTCACCCACATGAGTCATCTCCAGTCCCTTAATAGGCTGCATGCTGTTCCGCCCCACCGGCCTCAGATCCCACCCTATCTGCATCCACTTCCTGTTTTCTTGCTTCTGCCCCCTCCCCGCCTGTGACTTCTGCCTGCCCTGCTCCCAGCGCACTCTGCATGCAGGAAGACTGCAGTGAGGCGTGTGCCTGCCCTGGTCGGGAGGATGTGTGAGGAGCAGCAGGTTTGAAGGGCAGGGGTTGTGTTTGGGTGGCAGAGGGGGTGACGGCGGATGTATGTTCTTGTTAGCTTTGTGGGAAGCCCCATTTCAGCAGAGCGGTAATCTGCTTGTTGATACGTGCTTTCTGCTAACGCGTGTTTAGCATGCTATGCCATGCCGGTTCAGCCTTTTAAAGCTCTTATTCACCATTGGGCTGTTGGGTACTTTCTGTCCCATGGCATTCAGAGTATTTTTTTTTTAAGTAGGAAGGAGTCCTCGTAGTTGGGGCTTTTTTTCCAGTTGGCTGTTTGTTCTGAGTTCTGAGCCCCCCTGGTTCCAGCCTCTCATGGGAGATGGTGGGGAGAGTGGTCTGGGTGTGGGCATCACTGATAAGGCAGGCGTTTCCTGCCTGCGGCTCCATGTGGCATCGGACCAGCCAATCGCACGGAGCGCAGCTAATGAGCGAGGGAGAGAGAGGGGATGGGGTCGTGCCTCAGCGTTACGGTGCCAGATCAGTAACCTGATGCGGGGTCTTCATGTGCCCATGGAGTGAGTGTGTCCAAGACCCCTGTGGGGTGTTTCAGAAGCTGCCTGTGGGCATATTGATATGCTTGTGGTAGCACCCGGCTAAACATGAACCTGGTTCAGACACAGCGGCCACCCAACAGGTTGTGTTTGGAGGATTCTGACCGTTCCGTCCTCCCTGCAGGCTCAGCCAGGCCTGGCAGATGGTCCGAACCCAAGGGAGCCCCTAGAGAGCAGCCCAGGGATAACGCCCAGAAACAGCCTGGGCTCCTGCCCCTCCCCAGACCCCGAGGATGTCTCTGACCAGGTGACGGGTGGCAATATTTTGGGTTGCACTAATTGTCCTATCAGCCACTAGTCTTGTTACTTAACCGTTTATGGTAACTAAGCACAATGATGCTTTGCTACATGTCTTTTGGGGGGGGTTCTTAACTCTCTGGCCCTTTGCCCCCACACAGAACTCCCACTCCAATTCAGGAAGCCCTTACTTGCGGCCAGTCACACAGATCATCGGTGCTGAAGATGACTACTTTGAAGCAGAACAGGAGCAGGTGATACCTCCTGCAGGCGTTCTTATTGGTTTGCTATAAGGTCTGTCTCCGCCCCCTCCATTGACTCCGCCCCCTCCTCTTAGATCAATGGCCAGTGCAGCTGCTTCCAGAGCATTGAGCTGCTCAAATCCCGGCCTGCCCACCTGGCGGTCTTCCTCCACCACGTCTTCTCCCAGTTTGACCCCGCCCCCCTGGTACGAGCCTGCCTGGCCCGCTGAATCTGAAGGGCGTAGGTGCCCGCTGACCCCGCCCCCTTACCTGTGTGTTGCCTTTGTGCAGCTGTGCTACCTCTACGCCGAGCTGTACAAGCACACCAACTCCAAAGAGACCCGCCGCATCTTTATGGAGCTGCACTCATTCTTCATGGAGCGAGGGGCGGTGAGTCCAGCCGGCCAATACCGTGCTTCCCACCAGCGGTGTGACACAATCACGCCACTAACATGCCACACAAACATTCACGCTCCACGGCACATGCCTACTCCACCACACACGTCGCAGCTGAGATAAATTTACTGGAATGGATTAAATCCAGCATTTGACCTTCTGTAAGCGGAGCTGGGTGAATTAGACAGCTTGAGTTTCAATGTCTGTACCTCCCACATACCTGTACAGCTCCCCCATATACTGACAGTCCCTTATGTTAACCATGCATGCGTTGAGTTTATGGTCTTAAAGGTGTGGTGTGTGTGTTTTGTTGGTTTTTTAATGCAGAATCTGAAAGTCTCTGTGCCAGAGTCCATCTCCTCTGAGCTTGGTAAGTATGTGTTTAGTATGGTTGGAGTTCCTTGGCCCTTGTGCCCTCCTTGAGCGATGATTCCCAGAGAGAAATGGCCAGCCAGCCTCCCTGATGAGTCGTGGGTGAGAAAGTCTGAGGGTGTTTCCTCTGTGTCTGTCTCTGTGGGGGCGGGGCACCCTCAGATCGCAGGAGGCCTGAGCTTCTCCCCGAGGAGCTACACAGGCAGTATGTGCAGACACTGCAGGACTCACTGCTGCCTGAAGTACAGAGACACCTGGATGACTTCAGGTGAGAGCGTGTGCGCATGTGTGTGGGCCTGCGTGAGGTCTTTGCGGGGACGTTTTGAAAGAGAGGAAGACCTCAAACTTTAGCAAAGCCTTTTAAAAAATAAGGAAAAAAAATGTATTTAAGGGAGGTCCAACTCACCCAGAACCCATAATATGTAATCGGCCTCATTTCTTCTCCCTGGGTTGGGTTATCAGAACAGTTAACTGTTCTAACGCTTGGTGGGAAGCTCTTGCATCTGTGCATGTGTTTACAAATCAGCTTCACGTCCGCAGGCAGAAGCGCTGCATGGGCCTGACGCTGGCCGAGGGGGATCTGGCTCGGCTCGATGTGGAGCAGGACCGGGAACAGAACCGGGAACAGAACCGGGAACAGAACCGGGGGCCACTGGAGCGCGAGCGGCTCTGTGCCGAGAGCATTGTCTGCAAGGTCGAGGACGTGCTGTGAGTTATTAATCATTTTTTTTGTGTCCAGCCATTAAAATGGTAGGTAATGTAAGAATTTGACTGATTGGCTTTTTACATTTGACTGAAGTGATTTGAGCTGTGAAATACTAGTAAAGATTGTAGCTGTTTTTAGTCTCTCCTACTTCTGCTAATAGACGCACATTCATAGTGACCTGGGCATTTTCTTGTTTCAGCCTGACGTCGCAGCTGGCGGAGGAGGAGAAGTGGTGAGGGGGACTTCCTGATTCCACTCCCACACCTCATTGCATGCTTTGCTTGCTGGCGGGCTACTGGGTCGAATCTAGCAGGAAGTGTTTCTGCTCCTGAGTGACCTTTTTTTTGGTTTTAGTTCTCTGAAAGGCTCTGGTCCTCTGGCTGGCAGAAATGGTTCAGCCCAGTTTCAATAGGATGGGGGAGTCAGAACAGTGGGTGGAGTCAGAACAGTGGGTGGAGTCAGAACAGTGGGTGGAGTCAGAACAGTGGGTGGAGTCAGACATTAGGGCAAGCGAATACGAAGTGATGTGTGTAAGGGAGGCATCAGCTGCTTCTCTGTGGCGGTTCTACATTCAATCCGCTGGTGGGACATTAGAGATTCTGAAGACCTGTGATCGTGTCCCCATCCTGGGTTCTGTGTCACCCTCCCCAGTGCCACCATGCAGTACGTGCTGCTCAGCTATATGAAGTATCTCGGCGTGAAGGTGAAGGAACCGCGAGGCCTGGAGCCCAAGCGTACACGCATCAACTTTCTCCCCAAGATTAAGGTATGGAACCGCTTTTTGGTGTCTGTCCGTCTGCCAGATGGACATGTGTTCTCACATGCTTCTGTGCTCTGCTGAAGCAGAAGAGGGTGGAAAAAGAGACGGAAGACAAGGGCAAATCGAGGCTTCTTCACAGCATCCTTGGCGGACCCCCACGCAAGCCTGGACCATCCAGTCAGTCTTTAGAATCTCCGACCCCCCCGTAATGAAGGTGATATTCCTGTCTGATTTCTCCCCGATAACATGGTGCGTATTTGTGTGTGTTCTGCAGGCGGTCGTGTCTCGGACCCATTTAAGCCCCGCCCCCTTAAGCAGCCGTACCAGAGCTCTTTCTCAGTTCCTGAAATGCCCGAAGCCTCCCAGCTGATGCGGCAGCGGGGGGGGCAATTCTCCGAGAGCGCCGAGTCCCCCACCATTCCTGCTTTCCCATCACAGTCGATCAGTTTCGAGGGGGGAGATTCTGGTAGGAATCTGTGTTGTGAGATTCCTTGATGTCTTCTGTTTGCATGTGTTATATTGGAGACTCCTTAACTGGTCCCATGGTTGCTAATATATCCTAATTTACTTTCATAGACTGCATTGTGTTGTCACCGACCTATTTATTGAGCTGGTCTGATCCTGCTCACTAGTGTGGGTTCACTGGTAGTTTCAGCCAAGCATGTTGAGCTACATTCTCCGTAGCTGCACAGGTTGTGGACCTAAGGGTTATGCAGGTGCAGCCTTCTCCTTACTTGTGTTCCATGCTGCTCTCTAGTGCCTGGGGAGCCCAGTGTTCCCTACAGCCCCACGCAGTGCAATTTCAGCCCCTGTAACCAGGATCAGCTGCAGGAGGATGACCGGGAGAGTGACAGGTAAGAGGATCCTACTGCCGCGTCTGGAGTAATCAAAAACATCAAATAGTCTTATGCAACAACAGTAGTCATCATTTCTTCAAGGTTACTGTGTGTATGTGTGTGTGATGCGTTATTTTATTTTTATTCTGGTTTTGTACTTTGACTCTTACCTTGCAGGAACCAGGATGGAGGAACTCCCAATCCAGTCAGAAAGTAAGACTGATTTGCTCTCTACCTAATTTTTACTTTACAGAGGTTTTTACGCGAAGGGACGTGACCACTGTTACTTGATGATTGTCCCTCCCACCCACAGGATGGACACTATAGGACCCGCTGAGGTTGAAAGTGAGGATGACCAGGGGGGCGAGGTCAGCTCTGAGCCCGACCCCCCAAACTGGCAGCATCTGGTAGGGAAGGAGGTGCTAGATGGGCTGACTCCACACGAGATCAAGAGGCAGGAAGTCATCAATGGTGAGCGATTCGGCATTCTGGGTAGAAGCACCTTTGCTGATTGTTGAGCAGTATGGCATTCTGGGTAGAAGCACCGTTGCTGATCGTTGAGCAGTATGGCATTCTGGGTAGAAGGCAGGACCTTTGCTAGGGTGAATCTAAATTAAAAGAACACAAGCATACTTCTGGTCTTGGCAAGGCCGGTCTTGCTAACTTGCCTTCCAAGAACGAACTTGGGGTACAGTAAATCATGGGATTGGTCTCGTTTGGCAAGGATGTGGGAGCAGTGTGGCATTCTGGGAAGCTTGTTCTTGTCTTACAACTTTACTACAAGGGGATAGGTTTTTCTCAGATTAAGCCATAAAGTAATGAAATAAGTGGTATGTGTAATTCAAGTCCAGTGGCCTATACTACGAAGCGGGGTTACTGGCTTATCGGGGTAACTTGTCGGATTTAAGGTACCACAGGTTAAATAGACTTCATATTCGTTCACTTACATCTTGCCCAGACTACCTTACATCCGACAAGTTACCCCGTACAGGCCCCTGATCTAGTGTTTGGGTCACCTTCAAGTATCTCAGTAATGGCTGATTTCCCCAGTCCATCAATTAATTAATGAACAATTACTAGTGGTAATTAAGTAATAGCTTCTCTGAGATTTTTAGCCAAGTGCCGGAGGCGTGTGTGTGCGTGTGCATGTGAAGACCAAATGTCCCCACTATATGATGATAATGTGTAATTTTGACCTTGTGGGGACATTTTTTTTTTGATCCCCACAAGGGGAAACTCAATTTTATAAAAATCTGTGACTGCAATCAAAAAAACTAAAAATGGCCAAAGTCTTGTATTTTGTTGTATTTGTATCTTGTCATTGTTTTTAGGCATTAGATTTTTTCCCATAAAAATTAATGGATGGTCCCCACAAAGATATACACATCATGCGTGCGTGTGCGTGAGTCTTCTCACCCGGGCACTTGTGTCTCGTCACCCAGAGCTGTTCCACACTGAGCGCGCTCACCTGCACATGCTCAGGGTGATGGACAGCGTGTTCTACCAGAAGCTGAGCAGGGATGCCATACTGCCCCCTGCCGATATCAAGAGCATCTTCGCCAACCTGCAGGAGATCATCCAGCTGCATGGTAGGGGCCGCCTGCCGCCATCATCAATCTCGCTGCCTCTGTGGAGTTCACACTGATGTGGATGCGTGTGTGCTTTTCTCCGGTTCCCCAGTTTCCATCATCGAGCAGATGACAGCCATACGGAAGGAGAAGGTCTCTGTCATCGACCACGTAGGAGATGTGCTGCTGTCTTGGGTAAGAGCATGATGGGATATCTCCCCTGTCCCGGTGTCGCTGGAGCATGGGCCTTGGAAACTCACCTGGCAGAGCTTTGTTGCTCCAGTTCAGCGGCGCTGAGGAAGAGAAGATGAAGCAGGCCGGCGGAACCTTCTGCAGTAACCAGCCCTTCGCTCTGGAGCTCATCAAAAGCCGGCAGAAGAAGGAGCAGCGCTTCGCAGCCGCCATGCAGGTAGGGGGCGCTGGCGCTCATCAGACTCCCCCCACGCCTCGGCGTGACGCGGCAGTGACTCCGGCTCCCGTTTCCTAGGAGGCCGAGAGCAGTCCGCTGTGCCGCAGGCTACAGCTGAAGGACATCATCCCCGCGGAGATGCAGAGGCTCACCAAATACCCGCTGCTGTTGGAAAACATCGCCAAGTACACAGGTGGGGGGCGAGCAGGAGCAGGAAGGAGTGGGCTGTCCTGCCCAAATCTGGGGCGTGTTTCTGCTTTGAGTGTTTCTGGGTCACCTGACTTCATCCCAGCGTTCAGGTTCAGAGAGTCAGACCCAGGCATTAAGCGGATCGCTCTGCAGGTCAGCGACTGCCATGTCGAGCATTTCCTCATAGTGAAGGAACTTGCTGGGGGGGTGACAGGGACCCCCCCCCCCCCCCCCCCGTCACTGGGTTTAGAGCACATGCGAGCTACGATTCATTCTGTCGGTTAGGAGCTAGGAAACCATCCTTCTTTGTGGGGCTGTGACCAAATGGGCCTCCATGCTGTGCTTGTATGTCTGTGCAGAGGACCCCGAGGAGAGGGAGAAGGTGCGAAGGGCGAGCGAGTGTTGCCGGCAGATCCTGAACCACGTAAACCAGGCGGTGAAGGAGGCGGAGAACAAGCAGGTACCGTTGCTGGTGGACCGGAGTGTGACTGTGCCCTGGGATCTTAAATGGAAGGGCTGTGTGGGTATAAACTACAGCTTGGAACTTTAGCAATTGTCGTGAGAAAAAATGCAGATTTTTTTTATTACTATAAAGAAGGCTGCTCCATGTCTCTGGCTGCTTTGAAGAGAAATGTACAGTTGATGTGTCATACTGTGTGCTGCACCCCCTAGAGGCTGGAGGACTACCAAAGAAGACTGGATGTTTCATCGCTAAAGCAGAATGAGAGTCCCATGGTCTTAGAGCTGAAGGTTTGTGCCTGTTGGGTCTTGCTGCCACTTACAGCTGGGAAGCGTTGCTGTGTGTAGGTGGGGGGTGTTTGCTGAGCTGGCTTTGGCAGGCAAGGGCACCGTAAGGGGGAGGGATCAGGACAATTCCAAGGGCCCTGTCAATCAGAGGCCCTAAAAAATCGGAAAATAACTCGATTGGTCTGGACTTGGGAGCCCAATATGATATGCTATAATGGGGCCCAAAATCTTTAACAACGCCATTTTTTTGGGGGGGGGGGGTTGGCTGTAGGGGCTGGCTGAGAAACCTCTTTCACCTGGACCTTTGTGTTACATCCCCTTTCCTGTAGAATCTGGACCTCACCAAGAGGAAGATGGTCCACGAGGGATGTCTCTCCTGGAAGGTCAACAAAGACAAGACAATCGGTGTGTTTGTTTTGCTTTTTTGTTTATTCTTCAAAGAATTCAACGCCTTTTTGTCAGCAGATATGTAGGAATGTATACTGACAGGCCAAGCTGAGGGACTTGGCAGTGGGAAAGTCTACAATGGGTAGTGCTGACTGGTACTGTTAACCTGCTTTGAGTCATTGACAGCGGATTGTGAGATCCCTGCCAATTATTTTGTTATTCCATCTCCCCGTCCAGAGCTGTACACATTGTTGCTGGAGGACATCCTGGTCCTGCTTCAGAAGCAGGACGATCGCCTTGTGCTTCGATGTCACAGCAAGAACACCAAGCATATTTTCAGCCCTGTCATCAAGCTAAGCACTGTGCTGGTTCGCTCTGTGGCCACAGGTGGGAGCCACTGTACCTGATGTTTTACCAAAATCAGACGGACTTCTTATATTTTTACACGTTTTGTTTTGCGCACTTCAGTCAAAGTCTTGAGGATTTTAGTAGGACTTGTCCTGAGCCAGAATCACACATACTGTGTCCTAACCTCTTTTGTGCGATGCTATTTTAGACAACAGGTCCTTCTTTGTGCTCTCCATGTCGGAAAACGGAGCCCAGATCTATGAGCTGATGGCTCAGTCCGTGTCGGAGAAAAAGATGTGAGTCCTCGCCGGGTCTGCCTTGATTATTGCAGATGATAGCGCCTTCCCTTAAAATTCACCTTGTGCTTTATCCTCCGTCCACCAGATGGCAGTGTCAGATCACTCAGGCAGCAGATGCCATGAAAGCAAAACCACACACGGTCATTCCTTTACCTCAGGCAGAGTATGTAGTTTGGTGATGCATGTGCTTATCCACAGCAGATATGTTAATTTAAGAGTTTTCTTTCTTGAGGCAGCCTTTGAATTTCTTCATCTCTCTTCTGTCCTCCAGTGAAGTCCGGGATGCAGCTGAGATCATGAGCACCAGCAAACTGCCCCCTGACCCCAGCTTCCCTGGGACTACCCACTCAGCAGGTAGCTCACCTCCACAACGTTCTTGAAGCCGACTGCTGTGTCTGAAATGTGTGAGGCTCTGGGCATGATTGCAGTGTTGCTGGTCCTGTCCTCAGAGAGAGATGCCGAATTTTCACCCGCTTCTGGTCCCAACCACTTTGATGGGATCAAGCTGATGGAGGGAGAGATGGAGGACGAGGAGGAGTCCTTCTTGGTTCTTGCCGACAGGCTGGCCGCCCTGCAGCCCAGGTCACGCACGCGTGTCACACGTGTGGACGGGGAGGTTGACGTGCCCGTGTTACCCTCCAGGGCCGAGGAAGCCTTGAAGAGCTGTGAGTCGGGGAGCATGGATCACATGATTGCAGCGGCCAGTGCTATTGGCTGCTCCCTCACTGCTACACTCTGTATGTGTGCCGTCCCGGTAACTCCCAGTAATTCCCAGTAACTCTTGCTCCTTCAGTGGCCGCGCTGAGGCAGCTACTGGTCCTGCAGCTGTCGCAGGAAGGTAGCAGGGGGGCGGGTCTCCAAAGGACCACCTCCCTACGGCTCCGACCCACACCATCCTCGGCCTTCACCCATAATGGCAGGGCGGAGGGGGGCCAGGAGGTGGCCCCGGCGGAGCCGAGCTTTCCGGAGACTTCAGAGGACTGTGAGTGCTTTGTATTTCCTGTTTGGGCCACGCTGTTCCCCCCCGGAGGTTGTTCTCATCCTGCTGCCGGCTAATCTTGCATTCCCCCTCCCCTTCCTCCCCTCTCAGCAGGTTACCTGGTCCTGGCAGGTTTCGATGATCTGACTGAGAGCAGCACAGACTACGAGGACCCCCTGTGGCGCGAGTCAGTGGATCAGGAGCCTCGGTTGGCCTCCATGTCACCAGGGGGCTCCACTGACCCTGTGCGGCAGGTGTTGGCTCACCTGCGTGCTCTGCAGGTTAACCTGTATCAGTTGAAGGTGTGTTCCTGAGGGCGGCCTCTCTTATCCTCTGGGCCGTGGAACTTGCTGTAGCATGGCGAGAACATAATGTGCTCCAGTGAAGTGCTAGTGAAGATCTTAACCTGGGATATCAGCATGAGGCCACTCAATAAACAGATGAAACGCATGAGTGCTGGGAACATGCTGCATTTATTTATTTTTTTATATATATATATAATTTATAGAGAGAGAGAGAGAGAGATTGTTATTCCCAAGACTGGTGGCAGCAGTAGGCTTCTCTCTATATAGGCTTCCCTTTCAGAATTCTTCCTCTTTCCCTTGATTTTTCCCATCTGCGTCCTTGTATTTCAGGACATGGAGAGGAAGTATCACAGACTGCAGCAGAAAGCGCAGAGAGCATCAGCTGAGACAGACGAGAACGAAGGTGAGTCTGGGAGGGGGCCCCTGCTCCGCTGGGTGTCAGAGTCGTGGGCCACGCCGTTTGCCGGGGATGCCCATGCGGCTGCTTTTTGAAGCCTGTTTCAAAGGCCCCTTGTGTGCGGCGGCGTGGGGCTCTACGGGAGTTTCTGTGTGCCTGGCTATAATTTGGAAACAACCTTCGGGCGGGAAATAGAAGAGGGACGTCCCTCAGCTCGCCACAAAGAGAGCTAATTTTGGTGATTTTTGTTTTCTTTTGTGTGAAAGATACAGAAGAAAAGCCCTTTTTTGTGTTTCTATAAAGCCTATGTCTGTGAACCGGGGTCTGTAAACTTGTCATTCCCCTCCCCCCTCTCCAGATAAGGGTTAGAGTGACTCACCCCCTCCCCAGCTATCCAGCCTCCCCACCTGCTTCATCCTGCACTGAGGGAAGACCGGACCTGCCCCAATTAAACCCCAGATCACGTGGGAAAAATCAGCCAATCAGGGACGACTTTGAAGCCTGGAGGTCCAGTTCTTCAGAAAATCCAAGCGAACAGAAAGGAGAGTGCCAAAATGTACTGAACTGAATCTGGGATGCATTTAAAAACAAGCAGTGAAAGTAAACATTTTAAAAATAAGTCTGTTTTTAACCCTGAGGTATATTTATTGTTTTTTTTTATTCTTTTTCTTTCTGACCACTTTGTCCTTCGTGCTGACCCTCTGTATTCAGGCCTTCGTGCTGACCCTCTGTATTCAGGCCTTCGTGCTGACCCTCTGTATTCAGGCCTTCGTGCTGACCNGTATTCAGGCCTTCGTGCTGACCCTCTGTATTCAGGCCTTCGTGCTGACCCTCTGTATTCAGGCCTTCGTGCTGACCCTCTGTATTCAGGCCTTCCTGCTGACCCTCTGTATTCAGGCCTTCTGGAAGTCCGAAGTTTTCCAAACACGGACTGATCTGTGATGCAGTGATGCAGACTGACTTGGCCTTTAGGGTCGTCAGGGAGTTTGGAGTTCACTGGCGGGGGGTTTAATGCCCCTTCCCATCTGGAGATGCTAACTGAAGCTGTCTCCCTTGAGCCATGCCTGAAGCAAGCTCCAGCTTCTAGACGAGGCTTTGGTTCTTGGTCTGACAGGGCTGACTGACACAGGCGCGTTTAGCAAAGATTAGCCGTATTATCTGGCACCTGAGAACCCCTTAAACCTGCATTTCCTGCATTTCATTCACAGATAAAATGCTCCCCCTGCCCCCAAGACGTCTGTGGGTTTCATTCCGGTTTGTCTTTGGGTCGCCCCCCGTTTGGTGTGTTTTTGTGTTCACTTTGCTTGCACACTCACAACCTCGCCCACATGTCTGTGCCCTCGCTTCCAGGGACTCGTACTGATTGGTCAGTATCACCGATGATCCTGCCTCAAGACCCTCCCCTTCTGTCTTCTCCTGCCCCTTTCCTTGCCTTTTATCCTTTGCCAGTGCCTGCGTTTCTGCATGTGGGGCTTGTGCCCGTTGCCACGGGAACCCGCCAGTCTCGCTTCATTCCCCGTCGCTGCTGCGCAGTGACCTCTGGGATATTCCCGGCTGATGCTTACCCTGGCGAGGCGAGTGGGAACCAGTACCAGAGCTGGACTGTGGAGGGGGTGGGGGAGTGGAAGGATCCTGGGAGTATTTCCTCAACTATAGCAACACAGAGAGGTGCGATTGCTTGGGGGGAGATCATAATATTTTAGAAAGAATTGAAGGAGAGCTGGCCTGGGGACAAGCTGTATAAAAACTGTACATTTTGGATCTGATGGTCAGGCATCCATCATATTAATGTTTAAGACACCAGTCATGATTGTAATAAGTTCTAAAAAGATGAAGAATAAAATGTGTGGAAACTTATTACTGGTTACAGCATTGAAGTGAATCATTAGGAAATTAAGTTGCAGTAATGTGGAAGGTCTTGAATTATAAACTGATAAACTAATGATGCAGTGTGTGATTTTAAGTCAAAGCAAGAAAATTACTTTGCCTTTGGATTCAGGGGGGTGTCCAGTCAGCATTGGTTTGCTTGCTTGTGGGGCTCCTGGTTCTCTCTCTGAGCAGCACAGTCCTTCACATGATGCCCTGTTTATCACATCCGGCTTGTGTGGCACGTCACCCGAGGGAGGCCCTGTGATCCCGTGCCCTGGGGCAGGTTCCTCTGTCTGTCCTTATGTGGCGAAGTGGGACAGCTTGAAGTGTCTGTGTGAGGAGGGGGGGGGGGGCAATAATGGTTTTAATTTACAAAAGATATGAGATCAGACTCTTGTATGTTAAGTATGGAGAAGCTGTACAGATGGCATGCAGGTAAGCTCTGCCCTGTGCTGCACCCGCCATGCTGCCCTTCCCGGAAGTTCCTGGAGTCTCCCGCAAATTGACGGCGGCTCCCTGAAAGCCATGGGTGATGTACGAGGTTTTACCGCAACCCCACCCTACCCAGTCGTAAAATTTCACAGGTACCCTCTTGGCCCATAGCCATAAATTAATTTCATGGCGGGGGGGGGGGGTCCCCCTATGCAGCTTTCCCTAACTGGGGGGCTGAAGCAAATTTCAAGGGGGGTTCAAACTGGAACTTAACCACCTGCCTATGTGCCTGATTGGTGGGAAAAAAAAATTTGGGTCGTGGGGGGGGTTCGAACACATTATTTTGCTTCTACATGGCCATGTGCCTAGGGTTAGGGTATTGTGGGTGTAGAAAATGGAGGGATGGTATACTGTAATACCACCCAACCATAGCCAATGCCCCTCCCCCCTCCTAGTTGTCCCTCCTGCTCCCTGAAATCAATATGCCTGAGGTGAGATGTCTCCTACGCTGCCCTCATTTGATTCGCTGTCTGAAAGATTGCCGCACCCCTAAGCTCCGCCCCTCAGTGTCGGGGTTCTCTGCCCATTTAGAGAGACATGTTGCTGTGCATTTAGCCTTTTTAACAAGCTGTGACATCTGCACTTGTCCATATCACTCAGTATAGCGTTTATCTGCAGAATCGCGTCAGGAACACTCTTCCTGTCCCCTCCAGCCTACTTTGTCTGGCAGATGACCTGCAGTTCAAATCATCTGGCTAATATTTCAACGTTTTTTGCTTGAAGCTAATGCTCCGCCATGTAAATCCAGATATTTCCTTTTGACTGTCTTTTCCTTGTGGCAGTGTTTATTATGTTAAGATAATCAATCGATCATTGCTTGTGGGCATCTGTAGTACAAGAATCACAGGAAGGTGGTTTGTATGTGTTTGTACTGATGATGTTTCATTGATGATGCGTTTCCTTGACATAAAAAGCTGATGCAATGGACTGAAACGTGAAAGATGACATCATAGTTGCTTATAATGGCATGCTGACCAGGGAAACGGCTGGAACTGGTCCACTCACCCAACATGAGTGCTTATCGGTAGCTTAAGTATTCATTGCGTCAGATTGGATCCAAACCCCTGAATTTGTGGCCTGGAGGGGGCCTTTGGGGAGGGGAGCATAAATTCCGGTTTGTGACCCTGCAGTTTTTTAACGCCGGTTTATCATTTTCATCCTGCCAACCACTTTGCAGCCTGCTGGTTCAGTCAGAGATGTTCAAGCAGACAGTTTAAAACCAGGGTTCCCCAGTTCTGGTCCTGGGGAGGCCAGTCTGCAGCACAGTTTGCAGATTTCCCTGCTCAAACACACCTACTAAACCTGCAAATGAACTGGTGAGCTGAATAAGGCGTCTTTCAGTGGGGAAACCTGCAAACTGTGTTGCAGTCTTGTTTGAAGGGGGGGGGGGGTTGAAGCTGCTATTATCCTCGTTTATTCCCCAACCCCCCCCCCCCCCCAGAGCCTGGGACCCAGAAAGTCTTCCCCCCCAATGTGTGACCCTGCTTAGAATTATAAATAACCTTCATTTCTTTCTTCTCTAACCTGTTTAAGTTGACATTTTTTAATTGGCCTGTTTAATTAATCACACCTCTAAGTATTAACACACGGCCGCTCGTAGAGTTGGTGCACACCTCTACCCACTTACGGACTCCTTTGCAGTACTGGGCTGGTATATGGATGAGAAGAGAATTAATGATGGTAATTTTTTTAAAACGTGGTACAAATGTACAATGAGGCACACCCCAGCGGCTGAAGGAAGGGGCCAAAGCACCCCTCCCCAGTCATTCTCACGATCTCTTTAAATATGCTGCATCCCCGATGAGTAGGTGATCTAAATCATTTAAGCAAAGAAATGAAGCTAATTTACTGCTGTGGGGACTCTTCATCCTCATCGGTGAAGAATTTGCTGCATGCGCATTACTGGGAATAACGGTGGAAGCCCTTAGTATTATCTGTGACTGTGACATTTTCCTACAGTAAGTCTAAAACAAATGGTTGAGTATGAGGTATCCTGTGTGTCAGGCTGTACCCCTTCCGGATGAAAGCAGGATCGCCACGGTCGTATCGTGCATAAGCAGGGGCACACGGTGTCGATGTCAGTAATGGCAGCTACAGTGACGCATTGGTCACCCCCCTGCCTGTGGCCGGTCCACTTTTTTTTATTTTTGTGAACCGACAGCATGTCCTGTTCAGCATGGCCTACCAGACCATGGGCTGTGCAGGGACTGGGCTCGGGCAAAGGGTGAGGAGGATCAGTGTGGAGGTCTACAACATGTCATTGGGCCTCACAGTACACGTGGTCTCCTTGATAAAGTCCCACTGTGGCTATGGCTCCTGCTTCATTGTGCAGCGGAGTCGAGGACTGATTACCGTAACTGCTACGTAATCCATGGACTCTGCCTGTTGTGCACTAACCCTTCTCGCAGTTAGGGGGCGCTGTTCCCCAGGTTGCCCCAATCAGTCCAAATCATGTGAGGTGACACGAGTACATTTGGTTGCCTGAGCATATTTCAAGTTATGGGTTCAGCCTCCAGTGAACTACAGGGTGGCTGGAAGCCTTTGGCAGCGCTCTCAGTCACTGTGGATAGCCTACCCCTGACCCTTAGCTTCATCCCACGTGCATCGCGCACTCTGGGCGGTTGGTCTTCTCTCAGAGAGACTATCCACAAAGCCAGTGGTCTGATCTCTGCACTGCATACAGAACGCACTGTTGTCCTGTCACCTTTAATCTTCATTATTATGCCGTTTTTATTATCCATCTCTCCAAGTCTAAGTTTGTGCATTTATTTTAGTTTGTTCTCTGTGTGTTCAGGAGCAAGCCAATGTTTTTTAAAGTCTTTTCAGAAAAGAATCGCTCTTTCCACTCTGTTACTTCTATACAGCTTCTTAATGCATTGCATTTTAGAATTACTTTTATAATCCATTACTAGAGGCTGCAGCGCTACTGCCTTTCTTAACATGTTTCATAACAGGTGTTTGGGGGGGCGGTCAAATTATCACGCCCCCTGCAGTCTGAGTTTTCTGTGAAGAATTTTCCTGAAATAACGTTTCCTTTGCTGTGCAGCGGTAAGTTTCAGTTTTTTGTTTTTTTTTTGGACAGTGGATATTCAACGCCCCCATATTCCAAATTAATGAGCGTTGTTCACTGTGGGGCAGAAGAGTTTACGTTTCTTTCCTTAAGTCTCTTACCGTTTAGTTCAGACACAGAAAGCCAGAGGGGTCATGAAAGTTGAATGATGCCACTCTGTTTCGCATAAATCATGAAATAACTGCTGTGGTGTGGAGACTCGAATACGGTCTACAGCCTTTTCTGTCAGAATACACCTTACGTTTTCTCAGCAACACGGCATATAAGCCAGAGAGATCAACCTGTCTTACAGTACACGGGCTTATAAATAACGGTCCTTATTGCCGTTTTCTTTTTATGCTCACATTGTCGGCTGCCGTATATTGTCTTAGTTGCTCGTAGAAAGATATCCACTAATTACCAAGACGGACACTCTCACAGTTTATCCATAACCCTGTTCTATGTAATGTTTTGTCAGCATGTTTTATCTAACATCCTTTGCAATAATCACTAATAGTTGGAAATCTGGTTGTTTCTAATCGCATGCTTCACCCCCCCCCACCACACACACACACACACACAAATATGTATGTGTGCGCGCGTGTGTATATATAGACCTTTATATTCAGTATAGGTAAGTGGAAATGGGAGAAACCGTAATTTTTTTACTTTGCTGATGAACCCCCTACTGTCACTTCACTCGTTGAATTAGGGAATAGTGGATGAAATGTAAGAAAAGAAGTGCACACGCTGAACGGCGCCTTTTGCATGCTAATATACCCCATGAATGTGGTCTGCAATAATGAAATGTCTTGTGCCCATTCCGGAATAGGCGGCGCGGCGCTGAGCTCTCCCACACCTCGCGGCACCGACGACGGCCCTCAAGCGTCCAGCGCGGACTTGATGCAATTTGTGGTAAATGCATCAGTCGGTGAAGAATAAACGTGAGATAAATAATTCAGGAAACAGGATGCATCTCCTGGCACTTTCCCCTTTTTCCTGCTACGATGCAAACCAAGCGGCAGATACTTGGGAACAGAGAGAAACAGGAGTCCCACCACGGGATCAGTCTTTGGGCAGTCAGCAGGTGGCTGCAAATGACCACTTTCTGAATGCTTATATTTGCATTTTATCATTCCGTAATGAAATGCTTTTAGCCTACTGTGTTTAATTATAAGCCGTACTTAAGTTTGCAACCTAAAAGAACAGCGCCTTTCCTAATTAAATAAAAACTTTCACCCCCGCAATGATATAAAGATGAATTCATATCTAATTTCTATCCATTATATTTCAATTGCACTTTTTGTCTTCCGTTGTTCCAACACCACTGCATAAATAACGCGCAAATCCATTAATAGCCTATTCTCAAAACAATTACAAATCATGTGTCAAAAATTTTAATGTGGAAAGGAAATGTCTAATCCGCTACGATTAGATCTTTACAGCACCTGAGAAATATTACAGGGATAAGGTAATACATGTTTAGTATATGCAAGCATGGATGGGGATGCTGAAGAGAAACAAGTTGTGAGCGTTGCGAATCTGCGCGCCGGAGAAGCGCATGGTGGAGCCCCGGCGCTCCCTGGGAAGCGGTCCTCCGGCTGCATGTTATCGCCGTTTTACCCTCCCGCACTAACGTGCTTTCTGTCCGCCACTTTTACTTGTGTTAATTACTCTGTCACGTCAATGAGAGAGCTTGGTCGCTAAGTCAGTGACTTCTCGGACCCGTACGCCGTCTGTAGCGCAGCCGAGGCGGCGGTGAGTCTTCTGCGGCAGGAGCAAGGGGGGTGGTGCAGGGACAACGATACCCTCTTCTTTCCGAGGAGAAAACTATATGTGAATTTCTAACACTTATGTTTTATTTACTGCCGATGATTTAAGGGAGAATTAGAGTAACTGAGTCGTATCGGAAGAGGAATGGTCTACTGAACCCCACTGGACCTAAGAGACCGATATATTTCAATATCTTCATATGTTTGGATGCGGATATTTAACAGGGGCGACGTGTTTTAAAGCTGTCTTTAAATGGATTCCTCTAATTTTAAGAAATTAAACTGAAACAGTCGCTGCGATTGACCGAGATAAGCGTTTGTTGCGATAGTCGCTGCACGACAGTATGACGGGGTGACGGTGCGAGCGGCGCCCGGAAAATGAGGTGACATTTTTTCACATTCCGTTTGCTTGCAATTCGTCCGATATACCGAAATAATAAAAAATACAAGAAAATCAAGAAAGGCTGAATTAAGGAGACAGGGAGCCTCAAAGCAAGGCAACAAAGTGGGGAAACTGATGCTGAAGAGCCAGGTAAGGAAGCGCCGATTAGTTCTGTACTTGAGCTTATCCTAGCTGTGGTGTTAACGAACGACTTTTACATTATAATTAAAGTTTACAAAAGTGATTTTCGATTGCAAAGTACATGACCCGTTTTCACATAAAACGCATATCTTTTACTATAAGCTGTAATTTTCCCCACTGTTTACGTATTTATTATGAATGCGAAACATGCTTTAAACGTATTTAAAGCACATAAGAGTTACACCCATTTACACATATGTGATGCATTTATTACACGGCCGTCTCAACGCATATCAAAATGTATCTCCCATTTTCTGTCTACAGATCCATATATTAGATTTTGTCACACTGCACTTTATCATGGGAAATTCCTGTAATGGTTGTAACTAAAACAACAGCGGTATTCCCAGTGCTTGGATGCAGCTGTTTGGAGGTCGCTAGGTGGGTGCATGCATGCATCCCCGCTTTGACACCCTCCCCTGTGCGAGCCGGCGAATCTACTGAGGATCGCACCTTCACTTCACTCTATGCGCGCCGCGCACGCTGCTTGCATTCTATTCTACTGCACGGTCTGCTGAAAGTAAATATTTGAACATGTTCTGCAACATGTCCAGAATTGAAACCTTCTCTTGTAAGTATTTGCCTTTTTCCTTTAGCTGTATTCCACCTCTAAAATCAGCTTCAGCTTTCCGTGCTGTTCATGAAGCACCGTTATTTCCTGCAAAACCATCAGCGCCTCGATCGTTATTTGATATTCTTTTCGTTGACTTTGTAATTCAATTGCATAAAAGTTAGGACTCGGAAATTATAGTAAGGAATAAGTATTGTTTTAAACTAGGAACGCACAGTAAAGAAGTGTCATACATTTAGTGTTACTGATTAACACCTGCTTTTAACAAGTCCGCAGAAACTACATTAAAAATCACCAGCTCCAGAAGACATAGGGCATAAGGCTTTTTAAAAGGAGGATTTGGGAGATGGGCACCTTCTTGCATACACTGTACCTGCAACCACGGGACAAACCTGGCACCATTTGTACGGAAAATCGCCAACTACGTGAAAAGCCCTCCAGACATTTTTCCCAAGGATCCCGAAGTACTAGTCTACTATATTTTCTCAAAGTTTTAAGTCAGTGTAATAGACTGTAATGCTTTAAATATCTCGGATCTAGAGTCGTTTGTTTATTTTCCCTTGCTAGGGCTTGTGTTTGAAATGTGAGGCTAATCTCCCTTGTTTGTTACCTACTGTACCTGGGGTTTGGCGTTAATAGCAAGCAGTCCGTTAGTCGCCGTTGACTGACTGCTGAATATCTTTGGGCCGCTGCTCTCCTCTTGTAACCTAGCTTTAGAAACTCCCATTCTAGCTGGAATAATGTTGAGTTTTATAAATGTTTTTGTGAATACAATGCTTTAAAAATGACTGGCATGGTGGCTCTCTGGCTAACACTCCCCCTTCCATCTCCCCGGTGGTTGGTATAATTCCCACCCTGATACTGAAGCCTGTATTTTCAGTGCTTTCCTCCACAGCGTTATTACACGCAGTTAGGTGCATCTTTTTTGTAAAAAAATATAGGACTGTTTTATTAACAAAAATAAGATTGACAAGTAAGGTGGTAGAGAACAGAGGTTTCGGCGGAAATGGCTGTTTTGTTGCGTTTGTACTGTACTTTATTTGCAGCGAAGGCACTGTCTGATCGGAGAGCCCCTGCGCCGGCGCGAAGGTAGACAGCTCAGCGGCTCCTTTACCGCGGTGCAGCCTCTGCAGAGCTAAGGGCTGCCATTCAGCACTGCTGCTCCCGGGAGCCGCTCTCCTGTGAATGCACATGGGACATACGGCGGCCGTTTGCGGGGGAAACAAAGGTTTATGGGGTGGAGGTAGATGAGTTTGAGGTGTGTGTGTGTTTGTGTGTGTGTGTGTGTGTGTGTGTGTGTGTAAAACCAAACCGTTAATCCAGATAACCACAAGCTAATTAACAGCCAGTAGAACCAACCAACATACCCCAATTGAGGCCTAATTATCACCTGTCTTTTCTAATTTTCATCTTACCAAGAATGAAAACATATAAAGGAAATTTGCATTTCATTTGACATCAGTGATCTGTTTCAGTTGATCTGCTTAGTCACAAGCTGTCACATGTTTCTGGTGCGAGTTCGCTGTATCTTTGTATTAATATCATCTCGTGCCTCATTTTTTTACACAACTGGTCCACTTTGATGTTTTCAAATGTGCTGACAGTTCAGTACTAATGCAAATATAATGTTCAAGTGGCTTTACCCAATAAGCGACCCCCGCCACCTCATCTACATTGTGATATGTTTGATTCAGAAAAATGAGAACATTTTCTGCCTTCGATTTAGAACCTTGATTTAATCCAAACGTAATATGTAGATGGAGTTTATTTAATAGAACCCTCTGAGACGAAGAGCAGAAATAAGTGGATTTTTTTTTTTTTAAAAAAAAAACCTCTTTTCATGCTTTCCCTGATTTTATTCCACTGGGCATTATTATTGAAGCTTTTTGGTGAAAATTTGCTGCTAAGCGTAATTCAGCTCTTCCTGCAGTGAGATGGGTTGCGATGTCGTGTGGTGGCGTGTCTGCTCCCTGGTACCATCCAGCTTCCTCTCGCTCCCATCAAGCTCACTGGGATTTTGACCATGTGGGATTAGGTGTAAATGGTGCTGGCAAGATAGAGGAACAATTTGAGATAAGTCTTGTTTTGAGATGGTAAAGTCCTGAGGTCAAATGGGTTTCAATTTAAAGTTTTATCTTACCTACAAGACACCACATTGCAGTTATTTAACACCATGTAGTCATTAATGATGTCTGTCAGAGCAGTCCCACAGAGTCTTTGTGGTGTCGGGGGGGCAGGGGGGTCATTGGGTGTTTGCGCATGCTTGTTAACCCCAGTTGCTCCAGGATCTGGCTCTGTGATCCTCACTTGTACATCACTGAACTAAATGTAGTGGGTGGGAGGTGATGCACAGGAGACTTGAGTTCCCATGAAAACCTGTGAATATTCCTGCACAGCCCCGATAGGCCCAGAGCTTCCCACATGAGGCAAACACGAGCGTGAGGTAGTGCTGTGGCCAGGCCGAACTGGACCTGAGTGTGCATCTGTGACCCACAGCACCAGTCGCTGAGCTGCAGTTATCTTCAAGGGATTCAAAAGGCCTTTGATAAGACTCTGTAACTTTGATAAGCAATAGGCTGGTCCAAGAGCATCAAGTCCCAGCATCCCTTGGCAACAGGTTTGAGGAACGAGAGCTGGGGATGGTTGGTCTCTTGCACGGACTGTATGGATGACACACTCAGTGGTAGATCTGAAACTGATGCTCCCCACATTGTGTGCACAGGAATATCTTGTATAAATAGTGACAAGGACTGAAGCAGCGGCCCACAGTATTTATGTAACACGTTTGGATGCTCATGGGAACAGCCACCATCCCGTCCTGCCGCCCGTTTCCGATCATTGTCTCGGCTGTTTTACGGTTCGCTGCTGACTCGCTTGAACGTGAAGTGACTGCGTGCCTTTAAATCCTGTTTAATCCCCCATCCCTGTGTGCTTATAGTGAGCTAATGCGCGGGGTGACACCCCCCCCCCCCCAAGGCGAAACTAGGCAGGGAAGGCAACCCACGCCCCCCCCCCCCCAGCGTGCATTCAGAATGCCAAAACACCCCCAGGGACATTGATTACAAACTGTGATTTTTTTTGTTCTTTCTGTTCTTGCTGATGATTCTGCTTGGCTTACTTCTCATGCTGATTATGGCTAAAGAAGGAGGGTCTTGTGTTTCTGACCAGTTGGATGCTGGTTCTTGCTCTGTGGGGCCTTCTCCTGTCACCCTCCGTGTTGTGGATCTGAACCCCTGGAGATGCTGTCCTTAGACATAACAAACATTAGTACTGAGTAGACAGCAGCCCTTACATGCGATGGGAAGACTGTTGTGCTCATTCTCCCAAAATGAGCAGCTGCCATATTTCCTTTGTGCTATTAGACAGTTATTTTTCTAATTTAAAGTAGGTTAATGTTGCTGTGCTCTGTAGGAGTGGGTAGTTCAGGTTGGCTGCAAATTGTGTCATTTTGTATCATAATTTCCAAGACGGAATGTCTGTCTGCATAAATCTTGAAAAGAGACATTTGTTCGTTTGAGAAGCACACCGTCCGGCTCATAAACAACCTTATTTTGTAATCCTGCTAGCTTTTGCGTAAAATTCCTTTATATATTAAATCTTGATTTCTGTTCCCGGCTCCCGATCTTACCTCTCAGAACTTCGTTTAGGCTGGCTTGAAAATTAATATTGTCTGGATCGATTTTTATCTGTTTGGTAACCACCCCCAAAACTCGTTGTCTCTGGGTACGTGCCAGTCGCTTCAGTGCATGAAATCCCTATCTCTGGGTGTCAATACCGAGTGACCTCCAAAACACCTAGATGGATCTTCCCACGGTACTTCAAGCTATTTTTTTGTACAATCCTAGGTTTAAACAGGGGGTGTGTATTTTTTTTTTCCTGAGTTTTTATTTGGCTCATGGCCAGCTGAGATCTCCATGGCAATCTCACGGCACGGCCAGTTTAAATCCACTCACGTCAGCCTCAGCCCCCGACTCTCCACACTAGATCGTGCTCCCTGTGCAGGTCGCTTCCCAAACATGCAGACCACCCCCCTCCAGCTGTCTCCATACCCCACTGATTGCGACCCAGCACATCACAGTCCTACCACCCTGCAGTGAGAGTGGACAGAGATGTCTCTCCTTAGCTGGCTTTCCTGCTGATCGAGAGGCCGTGTGCGGTCACACCTGAGCAAGGGTGGCCTTGTACAGCAGAGCTGAGTATTAACCCTGGCCCTGGCACCTGAGTTACCTGACTCTACACCCAGCCAGCAGGTGGGGAGAACGATGAAGATCAGGAGTTAAGCAGCTTCCAGTGTTGTGACTGAGCTCTTGATTATCACAGGGGGGGGCGAGAGAAACTTGAGTCACCAGTTAACAGGTACCGGAACTCTTTCGATTTT